AGAGGGGATGAAGCTCACTTGGAACGAGCTTGGAAGGATGGCTCAGGACAGAAATAAATGGAAAGAGCTTGTATACCCTGCCAGGGGTGAAAGGCAAGGAAGATGATGATGATGATGATGATGATGATGATGACGATGATGATGATGATGATGATGATGATGATGATGATGATGATGATGATGATGCCCCCCCTCCCCCTTCTAGTTACCTGCACGCCTGAATTCTTCATCATGAGATGTCTGTTCTGCTGGATCCAACTTTGCCTTCTGAAAATAAACAGACAAACTAGAAGCTACTACACGTAGATTTCATTTTTCCACACGTCCTAATCTTACAACAGCGAGTTGTCAGTTCCTGTGGTCAAATACAGGGGAATTAAAAAAGAACGAACCGATTTCACAATACAATATTTTAGCAAGGAAAAGCAACAGAAAACTGAAACAAAGTCACAAGCATGTACTCACATACAATCAACTTTTGTTAAAGTGGGTGGTTGGCGGGTGCTCTCGTGTGGTTTGCTCCTTCTTTTCTATCAAACATCTATCGTCCTTATCTCCCCTTTTTATATTTGTTACTCTCTTGTGACACCTCTTAATCTTCTGGCGCTCATATGACCTTATGCAGTTGCGAGCGCCGTAAAACCTCTACTAAAACAAACAAAAAACTTTTGTTAAGTATTTACTCACAATCAGCTTTTACGCCCTGCCTTACAATCGTTTCATGAGACCACCACCAGCTCAGCACGCCCAACATTAGTGCGATCAAACAATTTTTTCCTCCCAGACTCGTTTCAGCATAAATAATATCATCATCCCGGCCCACTGAGTCGATCGCTGTTGTTGCTGGATGTGTAAGGTCATCGAGGTTAGAGGTTCGCGCAGGAACATAAACGCGAGCTTTTACATATCTCCACAAGAAAAAAAATCAGATACGCTCAGGTCTGGAGATCTGGCAGGCCAGGCCAGGCACAGAGAGCAAGGTCTTGAGCCCTTTTCCAAACATAGTGTGGTCAAAAATTCGTGGCCCAACTTATCCTCTAATATCTCTTCAACGGGTGGATCAATGTCACCCATACTTTACTCGGTAGTTTGTATCAATTTGTCTTAGCTTAATCACACTTTTCCACAACAACTGAGAATCGATTAAAAAAACATTCTTCAAAAATTAATATAAAATACTATAAATCTCCATCCCGAGGAAAATATGATTGTCCAAAGTACTCCCCGCTTCTCACACACATTTTGCGTATGCGTTAGTGGAAAAACTTTTGACAAGAAATTAGGGTCACAGTGAACACATTTTTCACCCTAAAGGTTCTCTAAACTTACGTTCAATAAGCTTAATGTTGCGATGAGAAAAAAATGACAGACTTGCTTTTATAAGCGATATTGCCCGAGCTGTAAACTTAAAAACCTGTAAAAACCATCGACTGGGTTTTTTAAAAAATTAGTATTTATTAAGGAATTTTCTAGAATACGGTGTGCAAGGGTTTGAAAAAAATTTCATCCATTAAGAGAAACTGATGTGCCAAAGTTGGGGAATATATGTTCGAGAGTTAAGGAGATATATGACAATAAGTTGCGCAACGCATTTTTGACCGCACTATAATCCATCGCTGGGGCAGAGCTATTCAAAAGTTAGATAGCTCCTTTTTCAAAATGGTCACTGACATTCCATAACGATGCTTGAGAACTGAAGCATTGCTTTAAAAAATCGGTTCATTCTATTTTTTTAAATTCAAAATTTAAGTAATTACTCTTTCAAATGGTCACTGGGTCATTAAATAACAATGCTTGGTTGAGAAGTGAAGCAATACGTCAAAATTCGGTTCATTCTTTGTTTAATCACCCTGAATTGTACGCCCGGGAGGTGGGGGTTGGGGGGGG